TGGGATCTTGGGCACGCACGCACACGCGCCCTGCGTGAGTTTTAAGCCACGGGGACCTGGGACACGAACCGCGGTCGACTACGTGGGAGTCCAGCGACATAGCCATTATGCTAACTGCTGGTTGCTGGCATCAGACTTTTTAAAGCCAGTTTTCTTTGGGTGTAACTCTGTCCTTGCCCTGCCCCGGCGCAGGTTGGATATCTGCTCATCAACTCCTCTCAACAGCCCCTTGAGAGAGGTACTGTTACCACCTGCATTTTATAGATGAAGAAAAGAAGGCTTGCTTGCGCCGTTGGACACAGGTAGTGAAGGTCGGAACGAGGGTGTAACTCCACCTTTCTGGTCCGTGCTCCTAGTGACTGGGCAATACATCCCTTTCCAGCAGGGCCAGGGCCTCGAGGAGGGGTGGTCTTGAGGATGCAGTAGGACCCAGTCCAAGCCTTCCTCCCTGGTGGGCAGAGGGCTACTGGTCCTTGGCAGTGCCTCTGGCCTGAGGCTTAGCTTGGAGCTGACTGATGAAATGGAAAGACTGCCCCCTTCCCAATCATCTGGAGTGTCCAGAGGTCCCAAGGTGCCCTGTGACCTGGTGTCCTGCCGGCTATCTGGGGATTGTTGACCGTATCTTCCAGGACTCCCCTAGCCTCAGCCCTGTTCCCTTGCCAGGAGAGCTGTGTGGTCTTCAGCTAGCCCTGGCCCTCTCTGAGCCTCGGTCCGCCCAATAGCCCTGATGGGCCTGGGACAGTCTGAGGATCCATACCACTTGGAGAGACAGGCATCTGAGCATTGCCAGGGGACAAGACGGGGAGCCCTGTTTCTGATCATCAGGGTGGGGGGTGCATCCTACTGGCTGCTCAGGGAGCAGTCTCAGCCCTCCCAGGCTGGTGCACCTGGAGCAGGAGGAAGGAAGGGGAAGAGGTGAGGCTGCAGGGGTTTCCTGGTGCCCTGTTCCCTGCTGAGCTCATGGGGACAGGAGGAAGGAGGGAGGAGGGGCCTGTAAATCCCAAAAGGAGAGCATCAGCCTTGCCTGTCTCCGACCTCCCAAGGAGCCTCAGGCTTCCGCAGGGAACAGCAGGGCCCAGAGAGCTCTGGGCCCTCTCCCTGCAGTCCATGTCACAGAGAAAGTGGAAGCCTGGAGAGAGGAGGGAGGCCCCCCCACACTTGACCTCCACCCCCTCCCCACAGGACTTGCCAGACCGGCCCCAACAGAGATAATGAGGACCCGTGAACATCACCTCCTGTGGCTCCTGTGAAGTGGGAGCCTCTGTTTGCTTTATTTGCCAGTGAGGAGACTGAGCGAGGGCACAGGCAGAGACCGAGAGTTGGAGCTTGGACTTGATTCCAGGCTCAGCAGCTCCTAGGCCCAAGCTTTTAAACACCAGACCACATTGCACCTCCTGCAAGTAAACTCAGAGCATTTCTATCGTTATTTCAAGCGACTTGCCGTAACTCTCTGAAAGGAGGTAATCGTAGCTCATTTTACAGGTGAAGACATTGAGGTTTTGTGAGGTTAACTACTCGCTTGAGATCGCACAGCGAGTTGAGTTGGGACTTCATTATTTTCATACTGATTGAGGTGTCACTATGCCCCAGACACTGTTCCAGGCTCTGGGGGGACAGCAGCGAGCACACAGACCAAGCCCTACCCTGGCAGAGCCCCCATTCTAGTCCAGGGGAGACAAGCAGGTGATAAACAAGACGTATGAGTTGTGTGGTCGGCTAGCAGGGAAAGC